AAGTCTGTTTAAGCACTATTATTAATTGTTTTGTTTTAATTGATTTTCTCCAAGAAATCGTTTATCAAATATTATTGTTTATGTATGTGCAACAATTTAATATTTGTTATATGACTAATTTGGCATTCTAAACATCATACAAATTTATATCCACGTAATAATGAAAGTTTTATTTTTTTTAAAGAACTCTACGTAAGCTCGAGGCTCGAAATTGGAAAATAATTACAATTTTTTGAGCGAGTTAACTAGAAATATTCATTTTTATAACCAAAAGAAAACTGTGCTTCCTACCAATGGAAGTTGCTCCTTCAAGCATGAATACATTTTTTATTTACCTATGACAAGTGCTTACATCCCTTAAAGTTAAAATAACTATTATTTGTAACTAAGAAGCACTTCAGCTCCTTTGTTCGCTATCTTCGCTATCTTCGTTCCCTCCGTGTGTCACAAAGTCAAGTATGTTTCCCGTCGTTTTCAGTTCATTAAACTTTTCTTCGTTTGGATAAACCCCAAAGCAGAACTAATCCTACGGAAGGTGACATCCACTTGAAATCTATTATGAAAATTCTACGTTAACAATTTGTACCAAGTATCAAGGATTATTTAGTCAAGAAGTTCTTATGACAGTAAAATAAAAAAAAATCATAAAAGTTACTCATTCTATTAATTACAATCACCTGACTTAAAATAAAAATTCTGAAACTCTTAGTAAAAGTTGGGAGCATGATTAGCGAACCATGAAGATCATTATTTATTGCACTTTGGCTTTAGTTAAAAGAAAAAATGCTCACCACTTTTAAAGATGTGTTCGAATACAAATTAGAAGAAAAAAAAGTTAGCCACACAGTCATATTTCTTGTCATTCTCAGTAGATACAACTTTTCTCCGTTCAGATAAACCCAAAAGCAAAACTAATCCTTCGACGAGTGACATTCACTTGCAATCTTTTATCTCCATGTTGAAGATAGTAAATCTAGCCCTGATGCGACTAATCCTTCTGATCATGACCATCCAAACTTATTACATACAAACATATTATGAATTTGAAGCCACTTATTACCAATGAATCTCATTTATAGAGAAAAACTCTACATAAATTATTCGTACCAAGTATCAAAGATTGTTTAATCACAAAATTTTAACAACAGTTTTAAAAAAAATTTCTGTAAGTGACTAATTCTTTTGACCATAATCATTCAAATTTGGATAAAAATTATAAAACACTTGGTAAAAGTTCAGAGCATCAGCAGCAAACCATTCAGTTAATTATTTATTGCATGTTGGCTTCAGATAAAAAAAAGGCCCCACTTTAAAAGATGTGTTCATGTACAAGTGCGAAGAAAAAAGAATGAGTCACTAGTCATGTATTCTGTAGTTTTCTGTAGATTACACTTTTATTTAGTCAAAGAATTTCTATGACAGTATAATAAAAAAAGTTCCTGTAAGTGACTAACTCTTTTGATTATAATCACTTGAATTAAGATAACAATTCTGAAACTCTTGGTTCAAGTTGAGAGCATAAGCAGCAAGCCATTCATTTAATTATTGCACGTTGGTTTCAGTTAGAAGTGAACCCCTTTGACAGGTGACATCCACTTGCAATCTTTCATCTCCATGTAGGAAACAGTGACCCCAGCCCTCGATAAAACTGATTCTTTGGAGCATGTCCATCCGAACTTGTAATTTGAATTGGAAGTCACTTATTGCACCTAACTGGACCTGATTAAAAGAGAAAAACTTTACATAACAATTTGTACTAAGTATCAAGGACTTTTTGGTCAATGACTTTTAATCTCTGTGTGAAAAAAGTTCTTTCTTACATAATTAAACCTACTATCTTGTCTGCAATCATGGATGACTAAACAAAAATTGAAATAATTCTAGTGCACATTCAAAGCTTGTGCAGAAAACCAAACTTATTTTTATTTGTTGTGTGTTTACTGTGGTTGGGAAGAAAAGGTAAAAAACCTTAATATGTATGAAAAGAAAAAAGATTCTTACAACATGCTGCATCCTGTTGTTTTTCGTTTATTTAACCTTACATCTATTGAGCCAAGTGTTGTGCAATTTTAATTTAAATTATGAATCCTGGATGTACTTTAGCATGTTCTATAGAGAAAAATTTTGTAGGGTTCTTGATTTCTGCTGAAATTTTTATTATAAAAAAAATTAACACAACCTTTCTTATGAACTCCACGATTTTTGCCATGAAAATACAAGGATATACGCGTTATTGCTGAAATCAGTTTTACATATCTGACTTAATAGGTTCATCCGTATGTAAATTCCACAAGTATCATATACTCTGAACATCTTATTTTCAACAGGCAATGTTAATTTTAAATTATTCTTTCTTAATAATGTTTATAAAACGCACACATCTAATGATTCGGCACTTTACCTTATGTGCCGAAATGTCAATAAATGTAAGGTGCGTTTTCCATTGCCTTACGTCAGCTGGCTTATGAGATGCTGCCAACTTTTGAGCAGAAAAAGTAAGTTTCGTATAAATAGTTATACACTTGCTCGGGCTTATGTATGAGCACTGTTAAGTATTATGTACAGTTAATTTTATGATGATCAACAATTATTTCTTTAACTTCCTGTAACTCTGCAAGGGCCAAGCTTAGTGAAATATTAGGAAAATATTAACGTATCTGCGGTAACATGAAATAACTTGTTATTGTTTTAATAACGGCTTGAATATTATTTTACCTTTGTTATGATGTGTCTTTCATCTTACTACGGTTTGAAAATTCCTAACTTAAACTTTTTTTTTTATATTAATTTTTTTCACTTTCTTATAATTTTGAGCTTCGCGGCTCATTTTTTGCCACAATGTACAACATTGCTGTGTAGGCGCTCGCGTATGCTTTGGCGTTCTAGTGTTTGTATGTATGTATCTACAAAAATTATTTGTACAATCAACTTTGAATATTGTTTCACTGCCATATGTATGAGGCAGCTTCACTTTTGTCTGGAGTCTTGAGACCCTTCACGCTTAATTTTTTCTAATTTTTTCGTCAAATTTATAATTGGTAACTAAAAGTTCTGTTATATTATTGATGTCTATGTAACTGTAAGAATTATAAATTCTTTGGATACTAGTTGATTTGCTGTAATAAATTTGCACACTCTTAGATGTAGATTATGCTTGCTTATTAAAAAAGACTCTGTAAGCTTCTTTACGTACAATTTTACAAAGGTGGCACATTTTTGGGTCACGATATTGGATCTCTTATTATAATTTTTTATATTCTAATATAGGTTTGTATTCAGTAACCTTAAAACCTCGTCCTTTTTTTAAGTGACTAACGTTGCTTCGAATTGTTATCGTAAAAACTTTTTCTTCTAAAAATCAGGTTTTACTTCTATTATTTTAAGTTCTTGTTTGTTACGAACAATAAGTAGGGTCCTACCTTTAAAGCCACTACTTAAATTTTTTTTTACTTTAAAGACTCAAGAATCACTAACTGGGTTAAAGCATGACAGTTGGCTTACATAAACTTTTAAATTTTTTTTTAACCTACAGTACAACTTTTATGTTCGTGTTTAAAATAACCCTTATCTTTGTTTATCACTTTTTTAATTCTTTTCATAGCCAGTTAAATGCACACAGCGTAATGACACGATATACCAAGACTGATGAATTTATCTTTTTTTAAAGTTAAAGTCTTCTTTTCATTGACAACGAGTTTGTTTTCAAAAAAAAAATTCAACCAAAGATAGTTAAGAACAGTTAATACTTGATAAAATGGTCGAAAGTGATTAAAAATGTATTCAGACATTTTGTTAGTTTATAGTCATTAAATACTTCTGATAACTTATTATTAACTAGTTTCATATGAATCACCACAGTAGTTTATCTGAAGGTTCTAAGTAACGATATTAATATCTAGAACAAGAGAAATTTTTTGAATCAAGGTAAAAGATTTTTTTTTGCTAATAGAAACTTAAGACTTTTCAGTACATATTAAAAGAAAGAAATTTGTTTAACAGTTTTTTACAGGTTACAGAAAAAGTTTTTAATAGTTGATATTAAGTTTAAAATGGTCTAGAGTTGAATAGCGACTTCAGTACTTGTATATCGAAGTTAATTAGATACAGATGAGTTGGCTGTTCAACAATTCTTAGACAACTAGAGCTTACAAGACATAAATTTTCCAATTAAAAAAAAAAAAAGTATATGCACCTGCTAATGACAGAATAGTACTTTATTTCGGGACTTCTAACAACTTAACTCATTGCATATAAAACACAATATGAGTTTAAATTTGGCATGATAGTAAACGTCAAAACTACCAAGTTAAGAAATATGTTGCATAAAACTTTCTTTCATAGAAAGGTAAAAAATCATATAGTTTCACATATAACTGTTTTATTGATGATTAACTAATAATAATTGTTAAGAAACTTAACAACTTGCAGTCAACATAAGCTGACTTCTGGAGAGTCAAAATGCTTTTTATATTTTTTTTTTCATCCGGGACCATTTAACTTCTTTTCGTGACCTTCTTTACGGACTTAAGGAAAATACGTTTTTAATTAATCTGAAGAAAAATTTTCTTATAGTTTATAATTTTCCATAAATGCTGGCTTTTTTATACTTTTATTAATTTGCGTTAAAGTTTCAACTACTTCGAACTTCTTCGTAGAAGTAAAATTTTGGTTCAATAATCAAACTTGCTTGGACCCGCATCCCGAGTATATTTATTATAAAAAGCTGATTTTTGTATAGAAAAAGTAGAAATTTTTTTTTTTTTAATATTTAATTAATTTTTAAGAAAAAGCCTTAAAGATTATTAAATACTGCATCAAATTGGTTGGCATTCATAGTTTTGTACTGAGTGAGCTCAAATTGTTTCAGTCGAATTATAGCTTATACTTATTGGTGTTTGAAATAGACTTGTATAGGAAATTACAAAACATTATTTTAACGACACTAAAACTCTTAGAAAAACACTAATCAATGGTTAATAATTAATAAGAAAAGATCTTACCTGACTTTTTATCTTGCTTTAATAAATCGAAAACTGGGGCTGTTAAAGTTTTTTTGTGAGCCCATCTGCCTTTAGAATTAGGATAAACAGTGTTGCTTAAATTAGTTGTACAATTAAAATTGGAAATGGCTTCTTGTCCTCTCTTTATTTTTTTTGTAAGTTTTTCACTCCCAAAGTCAGAGTTTTTCAAATCTGCGAAAAAAATTAAATTGAGTTTGCAAGGTTCTTATACATATTAACTTTAGTAATAGTAAAAAGCTCGAGAGCCTTATTTGTTAACTTTTTTAAAATTTGTTTACTATATGATTATCTTAAACAATACTATTTTAACTTATAAACAAGTTTTGGTATATGCATTTGAAGTATAGTCCACCATTGTAGTACTAACCTTTATAGTTATTACAAGACTTTGATCCCTTAAAGGAGCAGGAGGGATCACCATATTTGTAAGTTATTGATAAAAATAAGCTTATTCTTTCTTAGTAGAAATATTTTCTTATGATACGTTATTATAGTTCTTCCTAACATTAAGTGGACCAGAAAGTTTTTTGTGTAACTCTACCTTCTAATAATGTCTAAATAAATAAAATTAAAAAGAATGAAGTGTAAGCTAAAGGTTACAAATAACTAAGGTTTGAACTTTTACTTAAAAATAAAAAGCTTTTACAAGTGTAATAACATAAAGTGATCCAATGCTATTAAAAAAAAACGTTTATGTTTTTAAAACAAATACTCGCATTTCACAGTATTAATTGACAAATTTTCTGTCATCTGCACTCTACATTTATGTCTTACAGTATCTTACGATTTACTTACGAAATCAGGTAAATTATAATACCTATCATGTCCTATATTTATACAACTATCTTTTTCTATGACATATTACACTTACTTGTGCTAAATAGTATGCATAAAATATAACAAACTACTTAACAGAGGTCAATGAGTATCGATGCTGTTTACAACAAAATTGGTAGAAGATACCAAATATTGTATTTGTTTTAAATTGCTTTATTGAATTATAAAGCATTATTTAAAGTTAAGACTTTGGTGAAAAGACTATAAAAAAATATACCAAAATTATATAAGCAAAAAGTTTATATGTTACAGTTGTGGAAATAGAAAACCTAGAAGATGTAAGACATAACAATATACGTCAATATAGCAGGAATGAAAAAAATGTTATTCGCATACTTATTCTGCTTAATAATTCTTATTAGACCTTGTTGAGATGCAACCTGACAATCGTAAAAACTAAGGGTATCTGTATATGCTTACTATAATAGACGTTTTTTACAAGTACGTATAGGCTTTACCAATAAAAAAAAAATAATAGTGAAGAAGTGTCAGCATCGATGCAGTATATGTTTGAAGAAGGCAGAATACCAGTGAATTTGCAAATCAATTGTGGCAAATAGTTCTTCTAGTAAAATTTAAAAAAATTAATTATGAAATATGAAATAAGCTCTTACTTTTTTGTTGTAAGCTTGTATTTATCTTAAAGCACCTAAATGCAAGTGATTTAATCGTACTTTAAAAGACTTAATTTGGAGAAAATTCATCTAACAAGGCAATTATAAATGGTTGCCTCTTTTGAAGACATTAATAAAATGGTATAACAAAATAAAATATCGAGCAATCGATATGGAACCAAAAGATGTGAATTCTCAAAATAAAGTCCAAGTGCTAAGTTAGTTTGAAAAGAGATTAAAAGGTTGCAGCAAACCGATGCAAAAGTTTAAAAAAGCTGATAAAGTTCGCATACGCAAGGCCTAAAATTTATTTGAAAAAAATTATACACATAACTGGTCAACAGAAATATTCACTATTACTCATGGGGCAGCAACAAATCCAATGACGCATTATCTCGAGGATAATCGTTATCAACCTATCCCTGGAGGTTTCTATGAGCAGGAACTGTAGAAAACAGATCGTCCTTACATCGACCTTGTAGAAAAATAATTCGAAAACGAAGAAATCAAGTTTTCTTTAAGTAATTTAGGTTTTATTAAATCCATAACCGTTGAATAAACGAAAATAACTTATTAAAGAAAAAAAAAAAGTATCTTTATTATCTACATTTTTTTTGTATTTGAATTATTATTTAAACATTATCAAAAATTTGACATTATCAAAAAGATTTTCTTATACAAAATATAACGTATTTATAATAAAAATCAAGAATTAAAAGAAAAAATATACACAAGATGTTTAAAGAAAAAGTTTTATTTATTAAATTTATTCTTAAAGTTTAAGACATTATGTGAAAAAAATGTCAAGTTATGATATTTATTATACGTTACACTGAGCAAAAATTTCTTTACTACATCGAACAGTTCGTTAAATTGATAATTATTTTTATACAGAGCGTTTCATATTTTATTAAGAAGTAAAATTTAGAGCTCTTCGTCCAATTAAGCTATAATTTTCGGCCCATGTTTAGTATTTACTTTTTTTTAAGCTTTCTTAATGTGTGTCGATGCCTTTAAACCATTTTTAGCTCTTTTTTGGTGGGCGAAAACTTACTGTTTACAAGTTTGTTTAAAGTCGCTAGATCCATCTGTAATAATACAAAAAAATTTTTTTTTTGTTTCCAGAAATTATGTCAAAAAAAAAATGTCAATAATACTTTTAAATATGATTAAACTTCAAACTTTCTTTCTTATTACTTTATCCAAAGTCGTTTAAGTTCTCCTATTTTCTTTTTCGAGCTTGCTGTTGACAATTGATAATGCTTCCTTGATGTTAGTAGCCCGTGATGCTTAATTGTGGTTAGTTGTCAATCATACTTGCTTGCTTATAGTTGATAAGACCCAACTGTTGCTGACCAGCCTGTGCTTAAGACGTTTTAAACGTTGGGAAAGCTCTGAAGCTCGTGTGGGCTCATAATATAGGACTCCTTCCTCTCTTACCACTTATGGTAGCGACTGTGGCTCCACTTCTTCTCCTACCACCTCCAAGTTGGATAGATTAACTATTATATGTGACTATTAAGTTTGACTGTGATTAAGAGTTTTTTCTTCTTTTTCGTTATATTTATGCTCCACTACTCTAAAATGTCCCTGAAGGAGAGTGTCTATTCAGTTGGTTTGTAGATAGCGTTTGTCATCTGGCGCCCTAAGCGCAATTGTAACTTTTTTTTCAGAAAAAATTTTATAAAGTCGTGACCTGATATTTCTCTGCTTTGAGGAGGCGCTTCTATTTTTTGGCAAACACCTTACAAAGTCATAAATACACATTGTATCGTTGACCACAAAGTTCTTGACTCTTCGGTTTTTTCACAGGTTTTTGATGATGTATGCTATTGCACACATTTTTCTACGAAGCTTAACAAATTTTAAAGTAATTTTTCTATTGCATTCGTCTTTCATTAGACCAACAATTTTATTATTTTGTAAAGGCATGGTAAAGTTGCTGTCTCTTGCAGAATGATATGTGTCGAATTCTTGAACATTTTTTTGCATCAATGTATAAGTGATAATATTCGACACTTTCTACATGAGACTATCTGTATCAGTAAAAAAAAGTTTGGAGTGATCTCCTACACAACTTTTGATAAGATCATAGTAAAATCTATGTATGACTGTTTTAGCCCAATTCAAAACGCTTAGTTTAACATATTTTACGGACCTTATATAAATTTTATTACGCAATAACTGTATGGCTACGAGTTGTTCATCAAAAATATCGCAACAATAGAAACTAGAATATGCTAAGTACCCCCTAGCTTCATACCGACCTTCCCAATGATTAATAAACCTTACATTAACTTGTTTTCACTGGTTCTCAATTTTTTCCCTATAAACTGCATTATTAAATAGAATAACATTTTTTTAAATTGATTTTGGGCATTTTGTCGTTTTGTACCATGTTTACTTCAAGGATGTAGCTAATTTCAGCATCAACATATATAGTAGAAATATCCAACTCATTAATATTTTTTATTCATCAAAATTAATTTTGAGGTAAAAATTATCTCATAGCCTAACTATATAGTTTGATGAAGTCGTAATACATAATTAATTACCTGTTTTCACTAGGTTGATAGCCTTCTTTTATGAACGAATTATTTGCTTTTCCATATTGAATGCAATACTAACTAATTCTCTCGCTCAACAAATATAAGCATGTTGATGTCAGTTAATAGTTCCAATGTCACCTGTTACATAGATATCGTACATACATTTATATTTTATTTTATTTTATTTTTTCAATTAGTAATATAAGTTACCTTTGTATTTTGCATCTTCAGTTAGATTTAATGTTGTATAATAATGTGCAGGGTCTAGTTGTTATCTCCAATTACTCATAGAATTGTATTTTCATGACTTGTAATTCCTGCTGACTTTTCAGCTGTCAGTAATCGTAGACTGTCTGCTAGTTTATCAGGATGGTCCCAGTGTATAATATATACCCTACTTACTGCAGTAATTGAGCTGACTAAGAACGAGGTAGCAACAATCCACCCTTTTCACTAACAACGAGATCGAACATTGGAACAATAATTTTATGAACTTTATTGCTACTTAAATTTAGTATAGCTCCATTTTCTTCAAACCCTTCCTTATAAACATTTAATGGTTTAATATTTTATAACAATTTTTAAAACTATCCCGTGTTATAAAAAATTGGTTAGAATGTTTTTGGCAAGTTACTTTTTTAATCTAATACTTATTGTATAATTTAAACTATTAATTTTTTTATAATTGTTTTTAAAGTCTATTCGTGAATTACCTTGCCTGTACTCTTCATTTTCTTCTTGTAGTCAATACTTAAAATCTAATAAATCTTTCGAATTTCAATCAAGTATTTGCAAATGAATTCTATTTAATAAATTCTTACTAATTTGAGCATCATCACTATATTAATTGCAAATTGTATCATTTATATCATTGTCATAATCGTTACTCTCGCTAACAGCAAACTTGAAGGTGAACATTTTTACTCTAAAATTTATTTTGAGTCACAGAATTATTACCTTAACACTTTTGTTCTTTTGTTTCGGTAGAAGATTTAACGAGGTGATCTGTAACTGGTTTGAAAGTTTCTCCAAAGATTTTCCTGCCTTATTTTTCTCAAACTTTCACAGTCTGTTCTTCCTTTTAACAGCTTTTTATGCCTCCAGTTACTAAAGTCGTAGGTCTTTTTCTTATTAATAAATAATAATGCTTTAATGTCTTATGACAGGCTGTA